GCACGGAAGACTTCCCAAAGCTGCACAAGTGCCTGGATGCTGGGCAGAGCTGTAAGAAAGCAAACACAGAACAGAAAACCGAACCAGCCCTACCTGCAGGCATGCACAGGCACATCCCCTGCCCACAGACACCGCTGCTGCCTTGCCTCCACAGCTGGGCACACACATCCCACAGTAAATCACCTGTACTGTAGTGCTGAACACTTTCCATCCCGATTTCTGCTTTCGAGCAGTGCTACTTCCGAGAGCAAATCCTGCTCCAGGTTACCTGCAGCTATTTATGTTGCCTGCCAGGAAGCTGGAATACCCTTGGCTTTCAAAGCCCTTCAAATCCATCAGCTGCCTGATCTACAACAGGCTAAAGGCCAGTCCCAGAGGAAACAGTGTCACATTTCACTGCAGCAGAATCAGATGGAGAAAGGGGAACAGCAAACCTATTCCTTAACCTGACAAAGAGCCCAGCTGAGCAGTTTTCATCCCTCCAGGGTGACACAGCCCCTGCACAACGCCGCAGCTCTTCGGTCCACCCTCAGATTGAAACAACGGAGCTGATGCCGTGCCAATGCCCAAGCTGGAATTGGCTGCAACTGCAGGGAGCTGGACCCAGGACATGGCTCAGGTCTTACTAAAACCGGCCCTGCAAAATGAAGACATCAGTGGGAACAGGAGTGACGTACGTGGGATTGCTCAAAGCCGAGGGACACGGCAGCGCTCCCCACGGCACCACTGCCAAGCTGCTGCTCGCAGGAGCTTTGCTGGCCTTGGCCACCACCTTCTCTGCTCCCCTCGTTGCTGGCCCGGTTTCATCACCTCCTTTGTTGCAATAGCACTACTGGGGTAAAGAGAGAAAACCCAGAGGATGATTACACGAAATAACACGATCCTTGTGTCGGCAACAGCAGCAGGAGCGAGGCTCTTCCACCCGCGTCTGCCCGTGGTGCACCAGAACGGCTCCTGAGCATTAGGGAGTCATTAATCAGCCCCCTTGCTCAGTTTTTCCACTGCTCCAACCCTGCTTTTCCCAGGCCATAAACAGCACAAAACAATTGCTTGGGTCTGCTGAGCTAAAAGATCAGCAGGAAAACATAAAACCCCATCTGGCATCAGCAATCCCCAGCTATGTGCTGGTGCAGGTCCCTCATCAGCCAGGGAGACAGGAGCAGAGCAGCTCCATCACCTCCTGCAGGCTCTGGGAAGCAGCATCTCTGCAGCTTCCCAGGGATGAGGATGCTCATGTGTCCTGGGTAATCCGATGTTCAGTCATGCCCAGCACCTGCAATGCCAACCAACACTGCTGAGAGCAACAGATGCACCTCTGAAGGAGAACAGAGGGGATGCAGAGGAAAACCAAGCTCCTTTCTCTGTACCAAAGATGAGCTCCAGGGTAAAGATCTCTTCTACTGCTGCTCTCCAGCCTTTAAAGCATTTCCCACAGTACGTGCCATGAAGTTGTCAGTTAAAATGCAACTCTTGAGCAGAGGGAAACGTGCTTCAGGCACAAGAAGTGAAGGAGAAGAGAAGGCTAAGAGCTCTCCTGAACAGGTGCCATGCACCCAGCGTCAGTTTAAGGAGTGATCACTGACCTCCATGAATGATTTCTGCTCATTTACCGAGGCTCTAAACCAAACAGCTTCCCTGTAACACATCAGAGATCATCATCCATACCCACGGATTCAAAAAGCATTTCAGCCTTCACTAACCAGTCCAGAGCACGAGAACTGGATCGGATCACATCTCTGGGGGCTCAGAATCCCTGTCAAACATGTGCAAAACTAAAACTATGCTTGGGGAAAGCATCTCGAGTGTGTTGGCAAACAAAAGACAGCTCAATGGTGGCAAGCTAGACAAGGATTAAAGAGCTGGCTGCTGTGCTGGCTGTGACACAACTGATACACGTGCCTCAAGACTCTAGCGATGAGCTGAAGGGAAAACCCAGAGGCAGCATCCCTGACACCAGAACCAGGTAAAGCCTCCTCAGCTCCCAGAACTCAGGCGATGCGGCACCACTTAGCACAGCTAGCCTGCCCTGCAAGGGGACACAAGACAGACATTGCTTTGGTTTATGCTTCTTTAAACCCTTTTAGGACTCAGAGGTAGGCTAGGCATCGCCGGGTTGTGCTCACACTTCAGTACCAGCCCCAGCCATGCACGAGTGATGCTTTTGTTGGGAGAAAAGGACTCCTCCAGTAAAGCTTTCATGCCCTCTCTCCTAAGAGCTCTGTCAACAACCCCACACTGCACAGCAACCGCCCCTCGCATCTCAGGTCATTTATTAACGCAGTTCCAGATGAGCCAGTACAGTCAGCCCACAGCAGCGTGAAAGTTACGTCAGCTCCCACCTGGCAAACACACACGGGTTTGTCAGAGGGCTCTGCAGAAGAGGCCCAGCAAACACCACGGGTCAAGATACCTGGGTGCTGGGTGTTAGGAAACGCCTGGCACCGCTGCAGAGTGATGCAAGGGGGTGAGCTGAGGCAGCGGGTGCTGAGCACCTGGTGCTGGAAGAGGCTCCCTGCAGACACGGGACCTCCGAGAGCAGAACAGCAGCCGTGGAAGGAGCAGACTGTGAGCAGGGGCAAGCCGGGCTAAAAGACAGCAGCCAATGGGTGCCAAACACCCGCATAAGCACCCAGCACCAGGCACAGGGAATCCTGCCTTTGGAGCCCACCTTGTTCTGCAGCTTTAGGGAAGGGCCTCGATGAGTTTATTCCTTAAATCCCTGCTCTGTGCTGTGTGGCTGGGCAGGATTCCCAGCCAGGCTCCCCTTGGCATCAGGTCCCAGCTCAGGCAGAGCAGCGGTGCTGCCAGAGCACGGCAAGCACAGCTCCATGCGTGCAAACGAAGCCTGGAATGTGGAAAACTCCACAGGGCTGGAATAACAGCATCGGGCAGCAGAACTGATAACACTGAGCTCCAAACGCAGGTCGGGAAACGAATCAGAGATATCTACACAACATAGTGAGGATGCACTTAAGCTTCCAGCCTGCAGGCAAGAAACAGAGAGAGGAGCAGCCTGTAGGAAAGGAAGGGGACTCCAAAGCACCGGGAGACAGCAGGCAGCGAACAACGGAATGGGGAAGCACCATGGAGCAGCTCCGGGGAACCAGAAGGGCACGGGCTCATCCCCGCCGGTGCGGACCAAGCACCGGGGCTACCGCCGAGGGAAGAGCACTGGGGAAGAGGCCCCGCTGGGCGAACGGAACCGAGGCGCAGAGCACAGGGCCCCCGTAAGTACCCAAAGGGACCGGGACCTCACCGGGGGCCGCCGCCTCCCCTCCCGCTGATGAGGAAATCGCGGCCGGAGGCCCGCGGACTCGCACCGGGGCGCTCCGCTCCGTTCCGCCCCGCAAACCCTCCCCTCGAGCCGCACCGCGTCCCGCAGGCTGCGGCCCAGCCCCCGGTGGGTGCGACCGGCGCCGCTGCCCCGGGGGCCCCGCCGGCACTCACCGGACCCCGCTCCTCCGCGCTGGCCCCGCGCCGCTGCCGCCGCCTTTTGTTCGCTGCGGCGCGGCGGAGCCTCCCCGGCCCATCGGCCTACGGGCGCCGTCGCCTCCTATTGGCTGCCGCCGCCGTCACATGTGCCTTGCCTGAGCGGCGGCCCCGCGCCCATTGGCTGCCGAGGGTGGGGCGCGGCCGCGCGGCCTTGTGGGAGTCGTAGTTCCGCCCCTCCTTCGCCACGCCCCTCGTGCAGTGAACCGGGGGGGGGGCAGCGGGACACGGCCGATGACGTCACGCGGGAGCACGGGGGCGCGTGCCCGCGTCTGCCTCCCCCCCCCCCCCCCCCCAGGGATCGGGGCCGCGCCCGGTGCTCCCGCTCCCGCCCGGCACCGGCGGAGCAGCCTCCCACGGGTGTGTTGTAACCGCGGGGGCAGGCGCAGCCCGGGGGGTGCCCGCGGTCCCGGCTGAGCCGCAGCGGTGACCGCCCCAGCGCGGAGTGCGACCAGCGACCAGGGCAGCGCAGGCGGGGAATGGGGCCGGGTCAGGGACGCTGCGGAGGGGAGCAGGACGTGGCCATCCTGGCTCCGGGCTCCCGCCTGCCCCGTTCTCCACCGCGCCTCTACCAGCAGACATCAGACCTCTGCCAGCCAGAACCGCTCGTCCCGTGTTCATCGCCACTGTCACAACCTCTGGTGTGACATCAGCATCAGCAGCGCCAAGGGGAGGCACCGGGGCGGCCTCTGACGAGAGCCGGTGGCCTTGCTCCAGAGGACAGGTCAGTGGTGATGTTGTCACCAGGCTGGACCACGGGCCTGGGGCAGCCACCACGCAGGACACAGACAAGGATGCTCCTGCCCATCTCAGGGAGAGCAGCTCACCCTTGGCGGCACCACTGGGGAAAGACTCCATGGAAAACAATTACTGAAGCTTAAACTCTGCCCGGCTCCCTGGTGATGGGGGGCATCACGCTGGCCTCTCACCCCTGGGCTCTCTCCCCTCCAGCCACTCCAGCCCCAGAGTGAGGATGGGCTGTGTCATTCCCGAGCTGTGCCCAAACCCAACATCGGCGCTGATTTTCCCTGCGGTGACGTTAAATCTGACAGGTTTGGGGCAGGACGGACACGCCACGCCACACTGAGTCACTTGGCAGGGACAAACTGCTTCAATCATTCATCTTGGCAGTGTCTTAGCCAAGGCCAGAATGAAGTCACTGAGAGGAGAGAAACATCGGCATCTCCCATTCATCCCTCCCGCCTGTCCCGGATGGGATGCTGCCGGGATGAGGCAGTACCAGCGCATCCCCAAACGCACCCAATTTCCCTATGGGAAACCGGTTTTACCGAGGGTCCGTGCTCGGTAAAACCTTTGGAACCCCGGGTGCAGGGACCAGCCCTCATCGGACACCGGCTCCTCCTCCGCGCCCAGGCGGGCTGGGCCAGGAGCCACGGTGAGCACCGACCGGGACCGGCGGCTCCACGCGGGAACTGCTGCCGGGGCGCGCCACGTCGACGTCACTGCCTGGGCGGGGCTTAGCGCCGCGCCGCGCCGGAAGTCGGGCGGTTGCCAAGCGACGGCGGCGGCAGCGGCCTGGCCATGGAGGCGGAGGCGGCGCCGGTCGGGACCTTCCCCAGCTTCATGACCGAGGGCTCCGTGCTGCTGCGGCGTGGAGAGCACGGCAAGGCCCTGGTCTGCTTCAACAACGTGAGCGCGGGGGGGGCCGGGGGGCGGCTCTGCCCTGTGGGGGTGCCCAGAGCAGCTGTGGCTGCCCCATCCCCGGCAGTGTTCAAGGCCGCAGGGGCTTGGAGCACCCTGCTCCAGTGGAAGGGGTCCCTGCCCGTGGTAGGGGATTGGGACTGGGTGAGCTTTGAGGTCCCTTCAAGAGCACCTGGAGGTGAGGGTATGAAGGGAGGTGGCAGACGGGCAGCAGTGGGGCCGCAGCACCCACGGGCTGCAGCAGCAGCAGAGGGGGTTTTGAGCATCAAGGGAATCCGTGGGTTCATCCCCATCCATCACCAAGGCCCGTGCCGGGATGGAGCAGGCTCCTCCGTTGATGCTGGATGCTGGATCCCTGCTGTGTTGCAGGCGCTGAAGCTGCGAGGCGGTGACAGGGAGTGCCTGGCTGCGCGCTCCAAGTGCTTCCTGCGCCTGGGGGACACGGACAATGCCCTGAAAGACGCTGAAGCCTCTCTCCGCAATGACCAAACCTTCTCCAAGGTAAAGAGCAGGAAGGGGGAAGAGCCAGGGATCCGGTCACTAACACGGCCCTGCCGGGGTTACTGCTTCCAGAGAAGTGGAGGTGCTGGGAGACAACTGAATTCCAGGGCTGGATTTGAGCGGAGGCCGGCTGGGACAGTGCAGGGCAGTCAATGGGGAGGGAACCGCGATCTCCAAAGCTCTCCCCATCCCCTGATTTTCACTTGTTTCTTGTTTCCCAATGGCGCTTTAGGGACTGTACCAAAAAGCGGAGGCGCTGTACACCATGGGCGACTTCGAGTTCGCGTTGGTGTTCTACCACCGCGGCTACCGGCTGCGGCCGGAGCTGCACGAGTTCAAGGTGGGGATCGAGAAATCCCAGGAAGCCATCATCAACTGCATCGGAGGTGAGGGCTCCAGCCAGGCTGGCGGGGGGCAGTGGGGCCGCGCCAGCTCTGCAAGGCACCCGTGGACCCTGCAACCGGAATCTCTTTGCCTGCGTGTGCCTGTGCCCAGTGGTCACCGAGATGAAACCAGGAAGCACCAAGATGTGCACAGCTCGGCTCCTGTTTAATTCTAATTCTACGCCTGTTCCTATGTAGTAGATATAATATATATTTTATATATGAATTATATTAAATATTTTATATATTATATGTATGAATATATGTGAATATAATTAATATATATTTATATTAAATATATTTAATATAATTTATTTAATATAATTCATATGAACAGGCATAGAATTAGAATATTATATATATTTATACATGAATATATATATAATACATATATATGAATATATGTGAATATAATTAATATATTTTTATATTAAATATATTTAAAATAATATACGTATTATAATTTCATAATATGCTTTAATATAATTTTAATATAATATTGATTAAATGTATTAAATATATATTAAATATATTAATATAAATATATTAATTATATTCACATATATTCAAACATATAATATATATTTAATATAACTCATATATAATATATATAAATATAGATATGATGTGTATTATATACCTGTTCTAATAACTCCAGTTATGGAAGTAAATGATGACACTGATTTTATTGTCCAAAGTCACCATCAAACCCCAGGTAAGACAGAACAAAGCAGCTCCTCTACTTGCAGTGCTGCTGATTACAGATCCCACTGGGAGATCTTTATCCCGATATTCCAAGTTTGTAATGGAATTTGCCGTGCTACCTGAGACTGCCCCTGCCGTGATCCTGACTTCCCTCCAGCTCCCATTGCATAAGTCCAGTGAAACTGTTGACTCTTGCAATGCAGCAACTGCTTTCCTAACTCCTGGCTTGGATCCTAGACTGGAGTCCTGCAGGAAAGGCCAAGGACCAGGGGATGTTCAAAGCAAACCTGTCCCTTTTCCCTTAGTTTTCCTTCCTCTTATGCAGCGATGAGCATGGGCAGAGCGTGCTCCGGCTCTCAGGCACGCAGCCACCCTGCAGGGAGATGAATGGATTAGAGCCCAAGAGGAGCTAGCCCTTGATGCAGGGGGAAAGGAAACGCTGCCATCTGATCCGGCTGTTTAAACAGTTGGGAAATGTGCACACATGAACAGGGCACATCCCAGAACCGCTTTGCTGGCGGCATTCAGAACCTCCAGCCTTCCGTGACACACGTGGACACACGCTGCTCCCTCCGGCCCCATTGCCCTGCTGCAGGTCAGGCTCTTCCCTTCCTTCCAACCAGCCCAAGCCAGAGCTGCTTTCACTCTTGCCTCCAGTGCCAGAGTGCTGCCTGAGCAGCAGCGTGGGAGTCACAGTGAAAATGGGAGTTAGTTGCTCTGGAACATCCCTGTACTTAGAGCTTTAACTCCAATTTAAGCATCAGCTGTAAGCCCTCAGAAGAACCTGCCATCCTTTGCCTTCCTCTGTTTCCACGCAGTAGGAAAAGCCCCCTGGTGCCATGGGAAAGCAGTGATTAAAACCCCAAGAGGAGCTGCACCTCTGAGCTGTATTCCTTGCCTGCAGACCACAGATTTCACATGGAAGAATTAGCAGAAGGCTTTATTTCAAACAGGACATGATAGGCTCGGCACATTTATGGTCATTTTGATTCCTAAAGCCTCTGCACTGCTGTTCTTGAGCACTAACCAGTGTTTTCTCTGTATTTGCAGCTCCATCCTCAGTTAAACTGAAGAACAAAGGGAATCTGTGCTTCATAAGCAAGCAGGCAGAGGTACGGTCTGAAGAGCTCTTGCTTTAGGGGCCAACTGGAGCTGTTGTAACACCGGTGCTTTCTGAAATAGCTGTTAAAGGGTTAATAGTTTCTGCAGCAAGGTGGACTAGGCTGGTCTCTGAGCACTGGAAGCGCAGTGAGCCCTCACGAGAGCATTTATGCACCCGGTTTTAATGTAGCTCTTGCTCAAGCTACACAGAATGTGAAGGAGGAGGCAGAAGGGCAGGAAAGAGCAGCCACGGAGGAGCAGAGCATCCTCTGCCAGCCCCAGTGTGGCTGCCGGGTGTTGCTGCTCACCCATCACAGGCTAATGAGTAACAGCAGCCAGGTTGGAGCCAGGGTACCTTTGCCTCCAGTGTTTGCTTTGGGTTTCCTGATGTTTAAGGTTTGATAATGGGCACTTTCTCCATTGCTTCACCCTGGGGGGATGCACGGAGGCAGTGCCCTGCTCCTCCAGGATGCCACGTTTCCCTTTGAAGGCAGTGCAGGGCATGCTCACTGCCTCCTCCAGCGGGAATCACGGGTCCTCAGTGCTTAAAAGAACTACAAAGGGGCCTAAGGAATAGCCCTGCAATTCCTGGGATTCGGAATGTGAAACTTTAAAAGCCCTGGCTCTTAGAGCCTCTGTTTCTTTGTGGATAACTGGACCTGCCTTGCCCACCACCTTCATAGAACCCATGAATCCCAGGAGGGATGGGACCTCAAGGATCACCTGGTCCAGCCATTCTAGGCCCTAGGTGAGGTGTCCCAGCTCCCTGTCCTCCCACAGCAGTGATCAGGAGCAGAACTAATTCTTGCTCTTATGATGCTCAACATCATACAGGGGGCAAAACTGCAGCTGCTCAGCACCAGAGCAATCGGTGACACTGATTGTTGCTTTTAGTTAAAGACTAAGCTGGTTTATGTGGAGTGTAATGAGAATCCTGCTAAGCCCAGTGCTCCCCACTCACCTCTCCCAACTGCCTTTGTTGTTCCTTGCTGTAGTGCAAACAGAAAGTCCCAATCAAAGTGGCAAAGAATCCAAAGTGGACAAAGAACCAGAAGCCTGTGAGGAACCCAAAGACGGAGCGAGAGCTGCTTGGAGAGCTCTATGCTGACAAGGCCTACCTGGAAAAGCTGCTCAATGACAAAGGTCTTTCTCCACTGCAGTTAACTAAATGCTCCTTCTAAGCAGGTTCTTTCTCCTCCCCTTCTTTTATATCCCCTGTGGCTACTCTTCCTTGTTTGTATCGGAGCTCACACAGAGCTTGTGGTGGTCGTGAGAGAGGCAGGTATCTTTGGAGCCAGATCCCATCTCTGAGCACATTTCCCTCCCTGTTAAATGGGAGGCTTTTATAACCAAGGGTAAATCAAGCCCAAGCAATCTGTGCTGATGAAATCCAAAGCAGAAACAGCAGCGTTACAAATAACTCCTGTCATCATGATGCATGATGAATTCCACCACAGGGGTTGGGAACACCAGCACTAGCTCACTAAAGCACATGGAATGGGAATGGCGAGGCAGCTTTCCCTCCTAAGCACACCAGTTCTGAGGAGCACCAAGGCTTTGGTTTCTAGGAGCCTCTGTCAGAGCAGGAAAACTGCAGCCTCCTCCATCCCTCCCATTAACGCTCCCCTGGGTTCCTGTCTCCTTTCAGAGCTGATGGAGAGCAGCACACAGCAGGGGATCAAGGTAAAGGACCTGGTTTTGGGGGGCATTTCCTACCTGGAGACCCGCAGCGAGTTCTGGCAGCAGCAGAAGCCCATTTATGCCCGGGTGAGGGAGCGCAAGCTCCGGCAGCAAAGGTGGAGCCGGGACAAGAAGCAGAAACCCCTGGAGGTTGGCAGATACATTGAGAAGGCCATGGAGGACATTGACATGTGTGGGTATCCTGGCTGGAAGCAGTAAGGAAATGGTGGTGGGCACATGGGATTATCTGCTGTAGTAATTACAGTAGATGCAGACCAACAGAAGCAGTGCAAACACGAGCAGGCTGTTTGGGGCAGGATTTGCTGTTGCATTCTTCACCTTTCCAACACTTTCTTCAATCCACAATCCTGGGTTAGTTTTCCTGTACTTCCTGCTCTGAAGGAAGGAGAATTCAGCTCCCCCTGGGCTCGCTCTTTGGCCCTCTGCTACTTATTTAGAACCCAGGGAGAATCATTTACTTGTTTCCTTCTTTTAAGCTGTAACAGCGAGGAAGGTGGTAAAACCCCTGCAGCCTCATTCCCACAGCACTGCAGCCCAGCTGGGTACAGGGAGCAGAGCTCAGCAGGGATGTGCAAGGGGCTAATGTGGGGGATAAACCCCACAGTGTTGTAGCTAGAACTTCATCCAAGAGCAGGCTGCTCTGCTACAACCGTGAGCTCTCGAACCTTCAGACAAGCAGCTTTACTTCAGCATGGGATGTTAGCAGTAATTCCCCATCCCTGGCAGTGCTCAAAGCCACGCTGGATGGGGCTTGGAGCAAGCTGCTCTAGTGGAAGGAGCTGGGTGAGCTTTGCTCCCTTCCCACCCATAGCCTAGGATTCTGTCTTTTCCCTTTACTTGCTGTGATCCCCAGTAGTGCAGTTTCCCAGGGGAATAGTGCCTGACCAGTGAGGAGCTCTAACCCATCCCAAGGTTTGCCTGGGGCTAATCCACCTGCACTCAGCCTCACCCGCCCAGCACCGCCACGTCCACCCAGCAGCATTAAACCTCCCTCTTTCCCTCCAGTGCTGAGCGGTGACTCCCCTGAAGACAGCTGCAAGAAAGCCAAGCGTGTGCTAAGAAAGGTACAAGGGTGGTCAGAGGATGAACTTCCCACCAGGAAGGAGCTGATCGCAGACCTCTACAGCCGCATTGGGAAAGCTCAGCTAGAGATGGGCCAGACGGAGGCAGCCCTGCAGAGCCACAGAATGGATTTGGAGCTGGCCAGGCAGCAGTAAGTGCTGGGTTCAGGTGGATGGGAAAAGAGGGAAGTAGCTCTATTAAGATGTTACAGCATCAGGTCATGGAATTCTCACCTGGAGCTTTAACAGGACAACGCGTTCAGCCCGTGCCCAGGTATCACACTGATTTCTTATCGTCCCTGTTTCAAACAGAAGGAGCCTGAAGCAGGTCTTTAAGGGGCCTGGAGCATGTGGCACATCTCAGCCCCTGCTGAAGCAAAGCAAGAGGGAGCACAAGCTCTGGAGGATGCGTTTCCTTCCCAGGCTCTGACCTGCTCAAGTCTTCCGCTGCGTTTGCTCTTAGAACCATTTGCATTCAAACCTGGATGTATTTATCCCGGAGGAGCAGTCACCTGCCCACACACAGCAATTCCAGCTAAAACGGAATGGAGCAAGGCATAGCCTGAAGCCTTCCTCAGAGCTTTGCCTGCTGTGAACTGGGGGTTCCTTCTGCCAAGCCTGCGAAGGGCTTGCAGCAGCCTCGGAGCATTTTCACGTGGTTTGTGAACCTTCTGCCTGTCTCCTTGTGCCCTCCACTCGCACAAACCAAGTCCAGCATCAGCAGGAAGGAGGCAGCAGCCGGGGTTCAGTTGCTTTTAGAGCCATGGGAAGCGATGGTGAAGGAGAACCCGCAGCGGGGGGGGGGGGGGGGGGCGGCTCGCCCTCTGGTGGCTGCCGCCCGCAGTGGGCACAGAGAAGATGTCCCCAACGGGGCACATCCCTCCTCTCCATCAGCTTTTCCCTGTTAGGTGAGGGCAGGCGGCTCAGGCCACTCTGGAGATGGGGACAGGGACTGCTTGAGGTCCTCAGGCTACATCCTTACAGAAGGAGCTGCCTCCGGCGTGGGGCAAAGGCTCATTGCGAGCACAGCAAGTCTGGAGCCCCATTGCTGACACACGTTTGGGGTCTTCCCTTTCCTCCCAGCCAGAACTAATCTGTCAGCGTTAAGGACCCAGGAGCTCTGTGGGGCCCACAAGGCAACAAAGAGCGAGACTTTGACAAGGATGGCCAGATTCACAGCAGCAAATCCCCACAGAACCCGAGGACAAACCTAAACCCTTTCTCCCTGTGTGTTACGGGCTGCCAGGAGAGAAAATCAGAACTCAGCCTTCAGTTCATGGCCTTGCTCCTTTGCTTCTCAACACGTAGCCTGAGGTGCTGTTGAGCCCCAAAGCGAGTGGGAGGCTGAGGGAAGCACGGACTGTAGCAGAAACAAGCCCCTGCCACAATGATTTCTTTCTCTTTCCAATGCAGTGATCTGCCAGATGCTGTATCCAGAGCCCTCGAGAACATCGGCAGGGTTTATGCCAGCACCAGGAGATTCCAGCCTGCTATCGACACGTACGTAACACCAGGGACAAGGGAAGGCACCAGCTTGTGGATGTATTTCAGGTTATCTATCCCCGCTGCTCGAGGGGGAGCTGTGGGGTGTTCGTACCCACAGTACCTGGAAGCCTTTAGTTATAACAGCAGGGGTTGAACTAACCACACCTGGGGAGATGCACTCACCTCTGCCCTGCTTCCTCCCTGCTTGCAGATGGGAGAAGAAGATTCCAATGGTGAAATCCAACCTGGAGAAGGCCTGGCTATTCCATGAAATTGGCCGATGTTACCTTGAGCTGGATAATGCAAAAGCTGCCCAAAGTTATGGGCTGAAGTCCCTGCAGGCGGCAGGTGAAGAGGGAGATGCTGAGTGGCAGCTCCACGCTATGGTCCTCGTGGCACAAGCACAAGGTAGAGGCGTTAGTACCAATGGGAACTGTTCAGATCAAGGCATCTTGGAGACCTGCTCGATCCACCAGTGGTGTCCTCTTGGTCTGGGGTTAAAATAGATGTTTGCATTTGTCTGTTACAGTGAGGTTAAAGGATTACCGGCCTGCAATCCTGACCTTTGAGAAGGCACTCGACAAGGCAACACTTCTTCACGATGAAGCTGCTCAGGAGGCCATCGTCACTGTAAGTGGGTTCTTGCAAAGAGGAGAGGAGCTTGGGGCAGCATCCGTCAGTTAGCTCTAACTAACTAGTGTCTGGTGTGCTGTGAACTGGGGAAGTATCCCTGCACAGGCAGTGTGTCCAGAGGGAACATCCCTGCACAGCCAATGTGTCCACAGGGAACATCCCTGCACAGCTAATGTGTGCAGAGGGAACATCCCTGCACAGCCAATGTGTCCACAGGGAACATCCCTGCACAGCTAATGTGTGCAGAGGGAACATCCCTGCACAGCCAATGTGTCCACAGGGAACATCCCTGCACAGCTAATGTGTGCAGAGGGAACATCCCTGCGCAGCCAATGTGTCCACAGGGAACATCCCTGCGCAGCCAATGTGTCCACAGGGAACATCCAAAATGTCCCAGAGAAACCCCTCTGCACCAAACCACAGTCCCAGCACAGCACTCACCTCCCCGGTGATCCCTCCTGGGTGCCTGGAGCTCGGGCAGAGCCAGGAGAAAAGCACTAGTGGAGAGAGATGGAATGGTCAGGGGAGGAGACCTTTGTGAAGGGACAGGAACAGGTAGTGACCACTGCAGGGAGCTCTGTGGTAGGAAAGGGCCGTGTGATGACAGCAGAGAGCAGGACACAGGAGGAGCGTGGCAGTGTGTAACTGCCTTTCTAGGGCCTTTCTTTAACAACCTGCATCCCTTTCAGGCTTTGGATGAGGTGAGCAAAAGCTTCATGGAGCAGCTGAGCGAGACAGAAGACCCAAGAGCTTGGAGCCTCAGAGGTACCTGCCCTTGACACCTCTGCGCCCCATAAGCACACACATTCTGCACCTCCCTTCCCCGAAGCACGGGAGCAAAGCTCCCCATTCCCAGGGAGCAGACACCCGCGCTCCCGGCACTATCGCATCCACTGCGCTAGCCCGGAGCAGCCGGAACGCGCGGGTGGGTGCGGAGGTACCGCGGATGGGGGCGGAGTTACCGCAGATAGGGGCGGAGTTACTGCGGAGGTACCGCGGGTGAGCGCGGAGTTACCGCAGGTGAGTGTGGAGTTACCGTGGGTATGGGCGGAGTTACCGCGGGTGCGTGCGGAGTTACCGCGGGTGCGTGTAGAGGTACCGCGGGTGAGTGCAGAGGTACCGCGGGTGAGTGCGGAGGTACCGCGGGTGAGTGCGGAGGTACCGCGGGTGAGTGCGGAGGTACCGCGGGTGCGTGCGGAGTTACCGCGGGTGCGTGCGGAGGTACCGCGGGTGCGTGCAGAGGTACCGTGGAGGTACCGTGGAGGTACCGCGGGTACACGTGGAGTTACCACGGGTACGTGTGGAGGTACCGCGGGTGCGTGCAGAGGTACCGCGGGTGAGTGCGGAGTTACCACGGGTGCGTGCAGAGGTACCGTGGAGGTACCGTGGAGGTACCGCGGGTACACGTGGAGTTACCACGGGTACGTGCGGAGGTACCACGGGTGCGTGCAGAGGTACCGCGGGTGCGTGCAGAGGTACCGCGGGTGAGTGCGGAGTTACCGCGGAGGTACCGTGGAGGTACCGCGGGTACACGTGCAGTTACCGCGGGTACGTGCGGAGTTACCGCGGGTGCGTGCGGAGGTACCGCGGGTGCGTGCAGAGGTACCGTGGAGGTACCGTGGAGGTACCGCGGGTACACGTGCAGTTACCACGGGTACGTGTGGAGGTACCGCGGGTGAGTACGGAGTTACTGTGGGTGCATGTGGAGGTACTTCGGGTGAGTGCGGAGTTACCGCGGGTGCCTGCGGAGGTACCGCGGGTGAGTGTGGAGTTACCGTGGAGGTACCGCGGGTGAGTGTGGAGTTACCGCGGAGGTACCGCGGGTGAGTGTGGCGTTACCGCGGAGGTACCGCGGGTGAGTGTGGAGTTACCGCGGAGGTACCGCGGGTGAGTGTGGAGTTACCGCGGAGGTACCGCGGGTGAGTGTGGAGTTACCGCGGAGGTACCGCGGGTGAGTGTGGAGTTACCGCGGAGGTACCGCGGGTGAGTGTGGAGTTACCGCGGAGGTACCGTGGGTGAGTGTGGAGGTACCGCGGAGGTACCGCCGGTGAGCGCGGAGTTACCGCGCTGGGTGCGGAGATACCGCAGGTGGGTGCGGAGTTCCCGAGGGTGAGTGTGGAGGTACCGTGGGTGGGCGCGGAGGTACCGCGGAGTTACCGTGGAGGTACCGCAGGTGCGTGTGGAGTTACCACGGGTACGTGCGGAGGTACCGCGGGTGAGCGCGGAGTTACCATGGCGTTACCATGGAGGTACCGGGAGTGGGTGTGGAGGTACCACGGAGTTACTGTGGAGGTACCGCGGGTGGGCGCGGAGTTACCGCGGGTGGGTGCGGAGTTAGTGCGGGTGCAGGCAGAGTTACTGCGGAGTTACCGGGGAGTTACCGTGGAGGTGCCGCGGGTGGGTGCGGAGTTACCGCGGGTGGGCGCGGAGGTACCGCGGGTGGGTGCGGAGTTACCGCGGGTGGGTGCGGATGTACCGCGGGTGGGTGCGGATGTACCGCGGAGCTCCCGCGGCTCCGGTTCACGGCTCAAAGCGGCTTTTTCCTCCGCAGAGGACCCCAGCAGCGAGAGCACCGAAGTCGACGGCTTCGAGAAGGACGCGGAGGGAGAGGCCGGGGCCGGAGCGCAGCGGGGGCACTGAGCGGGACGGGGGAGGAAGGGGCGACACGGGGACAATAAACAGCGGCCGGTGACGGTGTCGCGCTATCGCGATAGCGCTGCAAACAGAGCCCCCTCGTGTCCGCTCCGTCCCTCCCCGCTCCCCCCCCCGCGCATGCTCGGCCGCAGCGGGGGGGGTCCCCCCGGTGCTATGAAAGGGGCTGCGGTGGGGGGGGCCGGTCCAGAGCCGCTGTCCCGCCGCGCCGCTCCGCACCGGCGGCCGCTGCCCTCACCATGGTAAGTGCGGGACCGGGGGTGCCGCGGGGCGCGTTCACCCGACGGGAGGCAGCGGCGGCGCGGACGCGAGGTCGATGGGACCGGGGGGGTGCGGGAGGGACCGGGGGGGTTGCGCAGCCGGACCCCGCGGCTCCATCGCGGTCTCCCCGAACCCCTCCGGCCGCCCGGAGCAGCCGAGCCTCGGCCCCGCGGGGGCTGAATGGGGGGGATTGTCCGGCTGCAGCCCGGCGCGGGGCTCTGTGGGGCCATTGTCCGCCCGCCCCGGCCGTGAAGGCTCCATTCTCCTCCGCGCTGGCCCCCGAACAATGGGGCCGGAGCGAGGTTTTCCATTATTGTTCCTTTGTTTGCGGCTCTGAAAAGCGGCCTCAGTCCTGCCCCGCCGGCAGCTGCGGGCGCAGGGGACACGCACCAGCTCCCGGAGCTGCCTCGACCGTTTGCTGCCTCCTGGAGCCCCCCAGTCCATAGGGAAGGGGCCCAGGAGCGATGCTTGGGGCTCGCTCTTCTTGGAGACCCATTCATGGAACTCCTTGTGCAGGCACAGCTGCTCCCCTGCACCCGGGGCTCTCCGTCCTGGTCCCCATCCCGGCGTGCTGGGAACGCAGAGACTCCTCCGTATTCTGCAATGGGAGATGGGGCAGGGAGCTGGAACAGCTGGGTTTTGGTAACAGCTTCCCTCTGCAAACGGGGGAGCGGGCAGAGCACAGAGGTTGGGGATAAAACCCCTCAGTGTTTGCATCAAAGGCAAACCGGAATCCTTCAGCCCCTCTGCAGCTCGGGTCTGGTGGGGGAAAATGGAGGGGTCCCAGCGCCGCAAAAAGCAGCGGCTGCCCCATTGCTGCCTGTGAGCGGGCACGGCTGGAGAAGTCCCCGTCCCGATTCCACCTTTTCCCAGACCCTGCTGGGAATTAAGGCCGGATTCCAGCTGGCGGCAGCGCTGCTCGCTCGCTCCAGGGCCTGGTTTCACTTTCGTGTTCCTCCCCGCGGCCGCTGAGCGCTGGTTTGCCTTTACCGGAAGCATTTTCGGCTGCTCCTCAGCACGAGAGGAGCCCAAATCCCCTCCTCGGAGGCAGCCGGGGGCTGCAGTGCAGAGAAAGGGGCAGCTCTTACAGTGCGAGAGCATCCTCAGCCTCAGGACCAGCTTTGCCTTCGGGTCGGCTGAAGGGCTGGGACGGCAGCAGCCGCCACAACGCGCTGGGACTTCACGTTGCTGTTCTCAAGGCAAGTTCCCCTCCGCACGCCCAGGTTTAGAGGGCACAGAAGCGTTTTGAGCGCTCAGAGGGAGGCTTTGATGCTCACAGCTGCAGCTCTGCCACGGCAGGGGTGAAACCTCCCCTTCCCGGTCGTTCCAGAGGGTCCTGCTGCAAGGGGGGGAGTTAAGCCGCAGGGGTAACGCATCCCCATCGCACCGCGGGAGGTAACTATGGGGTCGGTAACTGGCACCTCTCTCCTTGTCGCATTCCAGAACAGAGGCTTCTCCAAGAAGAGTCACCCATTCCTGCCCAAGCTGTTTAGGAAAATGTCTACTCAATCAGCCAAAGAAAGACCCGAAAGTTTGCACTTCCCCTTCCTGGACGATGAAGACACCATCGCCACGCTCAAAGAGTCCAAAACCTTCTTCATCCTCCGAGGCCTGCCCGGCAGCGGGAAGTCCACGCTGGCCCACGCTATCCAAGACCGGTATAAGGATGCCTGCAAGGTGATCTCGGTCGACAGCTATAAAATCACTCCTTCCGTTCGAAGCGCCATTCCCGAAGAGTATTCCAAGGTGGATGAGGATCTAGTTGACTATTGCAAACGCGACATCAGCGTTATCGTTTTGGATGACACCCACCACGAGAGGGAACGACTGGACCAACTCTTTGATATTGCTGACAAATACCGGTACAAAGTCATCTTCGCCGAGCCCAAAACCCCGTGGCGACAGGATTGCTCGCAGCTGAAGGAGAAGAACCAATGGAAACTGTCAGTGGAAGAGCTGAAGAAGATGAAGCCCAGCCTGGAGAAGGAATTCCTGCCCATGTATTTTGGGTGGTTTCTGAGCAAAAGAAGCTCGGAGATCCTGCGCAAGGCTGGCCAGGCCTTCTTGGATGAGCTCGCAAGTCTCAAAGCCTTCAAAAAGGAGAGTAAATACTGTACGTATAGAAGCAGCGTACCCAGTTCTTCGTGTGGTGGCAGGATGTTAGCGCTTGGCAAGTGGAACGCATCCACTGGGCTTCCGAGGTGGATTCCTAGTTAGAGTAAGGCGCAAGGCCAGGCTCCGAGATCCTAAGCCCTAGTTCACAGAGGGCTTTTGTGAGCTCAAGGGAATGAAACCGCCCTCCCCAAGCAGCCCGTTCGGTCCAGCCCTGCAGGAGCTGGGTCCGGCACCAGCATCGGGGGCCTGGGCATGGGCACGGCCCCAGCTCCGCAGCTGGGTGGGTGAGGGCAGAACCAACGTGGAGCCAGGGAGCGAAGGGAAGGACGGAGCCGGCTGTCCCCCGAGGGGGTCTGACATGGGCAGCATTGGCCCAAGCCCTGTTTTGTGCAGAAGCCTCTGTTTTGGGGTCCCATGCAGCAGTGAGGTGGGAGGTGTGTGTGGGGGGGGAGTTCATTTCCCCACCTGCTCCTTTGTAGCCTTAAGATAAAGCAGGAGGGGCAGGCTCTGCTGGGCTGGGACCTGGGCTCCTGGTGGCACTGCTGGCGCTGGGGCTCTGGCAGTAACGTCGCTTCCCTCCGCCTGCAGTTGCTTCCGCTATCGAGGACCCCAAAATCAAAATCGCCCTCACCAGCTACTTCGTGAAGAGGCCGCCCGGGGTCCTGCACTGCACCACGAAGTACACCGAGTTCGGGAAGGCAGCCGGGGCCGAGGACTACGCGCAGCAAGAGGTGAGCAACCGGGGTCCTGGTGGCCCCAGGAGCCGCGGGGTGGGCTGGGGACACGGCCTGAGCTGAGGCCCAGCGACAGCGGGAACTGGAGGGTGTTAAGGTCCTTTCCAGCCCTATTCGATGGTTCTATGACTACATCCCTGTGCAATAGAGAAGCTGGAGGAGATGGGGGCTACTTCCCATGGCAGGGGGTTGGAACTAGATCATCTTAAGGTCCTTTCCAACCCTAACCGTTCTATGATTTGCTGTATGTTTCCAGAGAGCCCATTCCTGCACCATCTCCAACAGCTTGCTTTGGGTGATGATGAACTGCTAGAGGATTTCAAAGCCAATAAACCCAAGTTAAATAGTGGAATGTGGGAGGGAACAAGACGCAGGCAGCTCCAAATTCATGGAGCAGGGACTCGGGCCATGAGAACTTGGAGGTGCACATGGTATTTCCAATAGGTCCCTGTGATCAGCCAAGCCCCCGAGCAATAAACCCAAGCAGAGGGCCGCAAACCCCTTGCCTGCAGGCAGCTCAAGCCGTGCTCTGCTTCCTTCCCTCTCCTCCCAGGCTGTGAAGGCTTCGTACGGCAAAGGCTTCACCTTGTCCATCTCGGCCCTGTTCCTCACGACAAAAACTGTGGGTGCTCGCGTGGAGCTGAGCGAGCAGCAGCTGCTGCTGTGGCCTGGGGATGCCGACAAGATCCTGCCCACCGACAGCCTCCCGAAGGGCAGCCGGGCCCACATCACCCTGGGCTGCGCCAACGGCGTCGAGGCCGTGCAGACCGGGCTGGATCTGCTGGAGTTCGTGAAGCTGGAAAAGGCAGGGAACAAAGGGGATGAAGTGGGGGAGATTGGAGGAGGGAAACTGCTGTATTTTGATAACGGGATGTGGATGCTCACCCTCTCGAAAAAGATCGATGTGAAGGCGATATTCTCGGGTTACTACGGAAAAGGGAAGCTCGTGCCAACGCAGAGCACCAACAAACGGGGCTCTGCTTTTAGCTCCTGCACCATCATCTAGGAGCGTGGGGAGGGCGCCTCGTTTGCTTGGGTTTAAAAGGCAAGTAACTCCTGTAACCTTTAAACGTGGAAAGAGAAATAATGCTACCTTTACTAAAGCCCTTTCGCCAGCCCCTGGGTGAAGCCTCTCTGCGGAGAGGTCCCCGGCCTCAGAACAAGGACGAAAACAAGCACCAAAGCGAAGCTGCCCCATAACCCCTGCCAGCGGCTGAAGGGCTGCTCAGGGTATTTAACACGAGTGCGCTCTGCTTGTTTTCTTCCTCGGAGGAAGAGCCCCCGTGGTCTCTTGTAACTTCCCTATGAACCACAATCGTTTGATCCTTACCTGGCAGCACCCCAAAGCCTGCACAGATGGGGCTGATGCCAAGCGACGCAACCGCCCCATGGCTCCCCTTCACCCGCAGCCCAGGGCCCGACCCCGCTCATGCCGGTACCCGAGCTCCTGGGTACAACCCTGCAAGACCCTGGTGCGGGTCCCTTCTGTGTGGCAGTTACTGAGCCCAGCCTGCAGGAGGGGGCACATGGGGAGGCCACCAGCCATGCTCTGCCCAACTCCTGCCTGTGTCCGTGCCCCCTTCACTGCAGGGGAGGGATGCGCTGGCGAGCGGACAAGGAAAGGACCTTGGCAGACGGTGTCTTAAAGGCCACTGCGATGGAGTGAAAGGGAAGCACCAGGAGAGGTGCTCAGATCCTGCAGCTTCCCTTCACCCATCGGAGCAGGCAGGAGCAAGCACCGTCCCTGTCCTTATCCTGTAGGGAACAATCCTGCCTTGGCAGGGAGCGGAAGAGACGAACTCGAGTCTTTTCCATCGTATCTGATAGAAACTAAAATCGTGTCTGAGGTACAGCAGAGTTCTTCAGGCAAGGTTTTCCTACTTTTCTCTAATG